TTTCACCCAGGACTCGTTGGGCACAGAAGAGCTGCCTGTGTGCTCAGGCTCGGGAGGGTGTGTCCAGGGAGAACCTCTGAGGAAGGGGAAGGTTAACCATGGTTCCTGCAGCTCCAGTCCAGACAACTGACACAGAAACCAAGCTGTGGCTTAGAGCATCATGTGTTGCCTGTGGCCTATAAAAAGTTGGGGTTCACAATGGCAAAGTTACAAAGCAGCTGGCAATGGTAAGAGCAGGTTACATCCTTGCTTGTTATCAAACAAAAAGATCAAACCCTCGTGGGTTTAGAGATCTCTTGTTTTATCTGTGTCAATGCAACACCTCAGAAGAGCACAGGGATTTAGGAGGTGGCATTTGCACGCCCTGGGCACAAACACAGCCACTTGTGGCCGAGTGGGAAGCAGAACCTCACAGGAGGCAGAGCACCACTGACAGTCAGTCAGTGGCCTTTGTCTTCTATGTCAAGTCTACCTTGCACTCTGGCATGCTTCAGCCTGCCTTCAAGTTACGAAGCTTAGGAATTGCCTTCCTTAAGATAATCTCAAACTCCTCAATCTCAGAAGATTTAGGGGTTTTGCATCATGCCAGCTCATGCCTACCTTGAGCAACAGTTGGTATTTCACAAGAGAATAGCCTTTGGGAAACTCAGTGAAAAGCACAATTCTTCCATAAAGCATTTTCTCCACGCTGTATCCCCTTCATGTTGTGCTATCTGTTATTAAAGGCTAATTTTGTTCCCCCCATATATTAAGAATTAAAGCCTCTAATCTTTCTACAGGCTCAAGTATCTGCTGGGAAACTCTTTGCTTGCTCAGTGTATTGCTGCAGATTGCCCTGGGCTTGACACCCAGACACCAGCTGGCATCTTGTACTTACCCATTTCATAATAGGTGCCCAGAAAAACACTGTTTTGGGACCTGAGGGAGGATGGGAGAAAAGAAGTTAAATTATTTAGCAAGATGTGGCTGTTTTAATAGCCATGGTAAGTTTGTTTTATTTGGGGGTTTTTTTTAATAATGGATTATTTATATTAGCAGTTTCTACTGTTGTACAAGCTCTAGCACCTACTACTGACAATTCATCAACTCAATGCATCAACCTTCAGTTGTGTAATCACTCCACACATTTCTGCAACAGCTGGATAGGATTTTGTATGTCCATGTTTAAGCAACTGAGGACGCCAGAGCAGGCAAAATGCATTTATAATTGATAGAGTTAGGAAACGGCCTAAGAATAGGGAAAGCAACCAAAAAATCTACCAGTAGGTGAAGGATGATCATGGGGGAAGAGCATGAAATCTCAAGAAGGAAGGGAGAAAAATCCAATAGCATGGGACCTGGAGAAAAACAACTCTCTTACCAATATATGTAATTTTCAGTGGTGCAAAAATAGCAACTGGTTGGTTAAAACAAAGCCCTGTAAATCCACACCTACAGCTATGCCAGCAATCATTAATCTGGGACTTCTGCTCCAAGTCTTAAATGAGAGACCATAATCCAAAGTACCAACCCCCTTGCAAAACAGGACACTGTTCTAATTTTATCAAAAACATTGATGTTTAGGTCATTGCTCAGCACTCTGATAACATGCAAGATGAAGCCAAGTTTTCACTCTAATATATTACGTAGGAGTAACCACCAGGACTTCAGTTGCCTGCTTTTTATGAGAGCTATTTCTTCACTAACAATTCAGCCTTAAAAAAGACCTTGCACTAACTACTTGTACTTCCAGTTTTAACCACCCTCAAGTTTAAAATTACGACTTGGGAAACAAAAACTGGCTTGGCAGCCTTGCATAAAGCCCTTTTTTGTGATCAAGTTTCAAGCTGCATTTAATAACTACAAACACATTACCTTTTGTCTAATATTGTTGAATATTAGATAACAGCAGCTTAATGTTCATCCTTTAAAGATACAAACTTAGCTGCTGTTCTCTTACTTGGTATGTCAGTATCAGACTGCAAATACAGCTTGTTATAAATAAATCAGTCTTACAGAGTAGCTTTAGTTTCTAACATTTATCTTAACACAAATTCAGATTTGGAGTACTAGAGGATTTGGGCTGAGTCTAAATTATTAAATTGACATGCCCTAAACAGCTGGTAGAGTTTTCAAGAAGACTGACATTAATTTTTATTAATAATAGAAAACTCAACCATTTCAAACTGCTGACTGCAGAACTAAGAAACAACTGGAGACAGGGAAGGTACCAAGCCAAGTTTGTAATTAGGTAAGACTGTCAAACACCTCTCCTTGGAGGCACTCCAGCAAGCACCTAGCCTGGCTGAGTTCTTCCCAGCTCCTGACATCCAGAATTTTTCAAGGATGAATATGACAGCAGCACATGGGAGCAGGGGCAGAGGCTAATTTGGATATCAGGTGTGTGACCAGTTTATAGAATTTATGACTTCTAATAAATATAAGAAGTCTTTGTGCTGAAAACTCGAGTTTAGTCAGGCAAAGTGAAGCAGAGAGGCCAAAGGGGAGGGAGCACAAGCTCAGCCCATGCTTTCCCATGGCAGCCTGGGGAGTTGGTGTGCCAGGCTCTCCACTGTCCTCCAGCAATGCCAGCCAAAGAAACAGTTTTTAACAGGCATCCATTATTTTGCTGGAAACTTTCTTTATGCCAAAAAGCACTTCATGCCTCACAAGTGATTTATAATTTCATGACAATGACGTTTATATTCCTGAATTAGACTAGAGATTTAGATGTCACTGGAGATAAAATAAAGCCTTTCATTTTTAACCCACTTTTTTTTTTCTGCAGTTAGAGTGACATCTATTGCATAACTTTCTCACAGACACACCTTCAAGGCTAAAATAGAAGTTGCAGGGGTGCTTTCTTGTGCTGTGGCTTTTCTCACTTACACCATCAGTATGGATTATGACAGAGAGATATCGTGTGTGTATATATAACATACATATATATCTACAGAATCCCTAAAAATGGATTTATTAATTACAACATTATGGTGATGACCAAAAGTGGCCCACAGGCAGTTTTGTGAAGTGAAAAGCACTGCAAGAGAACCTCCAAAACCTTCTCCAATAACCACTACAGCTCTGTCGAAGAAGGAACAGGGATGTTCCCAATACCTGCTGTGCACTGTATCCACTAAAAGCATCTGGAAGCTGCCACATTTCACACCGGTGGAATGTGTCTCTCAGTGCTGGACATGTTGTCTCTTTGTATATAAAAACAATACATTAATGTCAAATATATCAGTCTAGTGAATTCAGTACAAATAAAACATTTTGAGAACTGCACTTTTCTCTCTTTGTGACTTCTTTAGAGCAAGGATTTTCCTTCCAAGATAGGGCCATTGTAAGAGGATAGATAGAGCAACTGTCTGCAAACTAAAGTCCATTTTCACAGTGCATATTCCTGGTAGGTGAAGAGTCAAGGATGCCTGTGACACTGACACTAAACAGTGGGGACAGAGCCTATGGAATGCCAGGATTCTATCGGGCGCTCGTTTTAACAACCGACGCAATTTGTTTACATGACAAACAGCACGTAAATGGCACTGAATGAGATCATTTTACAAGAGGTTTCTCCCTGATAACACAAACCCCCACGTTTGCCCACAGAAAGGTAAACTGTGGATCAGGTGAGAGGAACTCATTCTTCACCCACGGGAGTCCTCCAGCGAATTCACCAAGGGCACGAGTTGCCCTTTGGTGGAAGTGTGGGATTTAGCAGAAAGGAAATAAAACCAAAGGCTGCCTGACTTGACCAGGGCACGTTTCAATAACAAACCGTGGCAGCGCTCTCCCCGTCCCTGGAAGTGTCCAAGGCCACGCTGGATGGGGCTCTGAGTAACCTGGTCTGGTGGGACGTGTCCCCACCCGTGGCAGCGGGTGGAACTGGATGATCTTTGATATCCCTTCCAACCCAAAGCATTCCACGATTCTATGCTACTCCCAGCACATCTTCTTGAAAGCAGCGGCTGCCGAGGCCTCCTGGTCACTTTAGACCCATGACATCCCCTGGGCCAGGCTCTGGCAGCCCCCGCGATCCCTGGAGCCACCCCGCGGTACCGTGACAGTGACAGCAGCGCATCCATCCCGGAACCACCCGTGCCGTGCCTCATTATCCCACTGTCCCTTCACAAACACAACAAATTCCCCGTTACGGAGCGGGACTCCGCTCCGGGGCCGCTTTCCCGTGCCAGAACCACCCAAACCGTGCAACTGCGGTCCCGATCCCGCCCATCACCCGTAGGGAACACATCCCCCGCTCCGCCCTTCCCACCCGGCCCTGCCGGGGGCCAAGGTGACCCCCGCCCGTTACCCGCTGGGTGGTTGTAGAAGGGCCGGAACCGCGGCGGCAGCATCAGCTCGATGCGGTCGAGCATGCGATGGTAGGAGGCGCGGAGCCCCGCGACGGCGGCCGCCATGGCGAGGGACGGGGCGAGCGCGGTGCGAGCGGGCACCTAGGGGCGAGCGGGACCTGAGCGGGGACCGCCGTCCGTCGGTCCGTCCGTCCTTGCTCCGCCCAGGCCCCGCCCGGCGGACCTGCCCACCCGGCAGCCGCGCTCTGACTGGCCCCCGCCGCAGAGGGCGGGGCGGGGCCGAGAGCTGCACGCGGCGCTATTGGCTGCGCCCGCTGACCCCGCCCCCTCGGGAGAGGTGGGAAGGACACGGGCCGTCCTCGGGAAGGGCACGGGCGCCCGGCTCAGAGATGGCCGCCGCCTCCTCGCTCTTCCCCTCAAGATGGCCGTTGCGGGGCATTCTGCGCTGAGAGTAATGCGCCCAAAGCCAAGATGGCCGCTTTGCGGCTTCACACCGCTTCACTGGACGGGCCGGCTTGTACCCGGCGGAGCCCAGCGCTCTGACGTCACCCTCCACGCCGGAGGGCCGACGTCACCGGCTCGCGCGAGACACGCGTTAGTAGAGGGCCCCCGCGGCCCCCTCCCTCCCTCCCGGTGGGCGTGGCCCCCGGGGCAGGGGTGGGCGTGGCCCCGCGCGCGGTGGGCGTGGCCCGGAGCCGCCGCGCCTCTGGCTCGCGGTCGGTGCCTCGGTGCGAGGCGGGCGCGGGGCCCGCTCCGCTCGGCGGTTCCCATGGTGATCGCGCGCGCCCGGCCGGTCCCGGAGCATCCCCCCCGCTCCGCGCGCGCCCTTCCCGCCCGCGCGGGGCCATGTCCCGCGGGCGCTGCCCACACCTGCTCTGGGACGTGCGGAAGCGGACCCTGGGGCTGGAGGAGCCCGGATTGCTGCGCAGGCACTACCTCGGTAAGGACGCGCGGTGTGTGTGTGTCGGGGGGGCGGTGCGGACGAGGTCCGGCCGTCCTTGGCGCCCCACCGAAAGAGAAGGGGCTCCGGAGCCCCTTCCCGGCGCCGCCGCTCGGCCGCGCTGTCCCGCAGCTCCGAAGTTTCCTGTGCCCCGTGTGGGGCGGCGACGCCTTCTCCAAATCCACCCTCCGCTCCCTCAGGGGTGGTCCTGGGCATCCCGGCCCCATCCCTCCGCGCTCCCGGGATGGCCCGGGGCCCGCCGGGACCCCCCGCTCCCTGGGTGCGCGGCTCCGCTCGCCCGCCGCCCTTGTTTCCCGAAGGAACTGTTGCACGCGGGGATCCAGCCGGGAAGTTGGGCGGCGGCTCGGAATAGCGCCGGTGTCCGTGTTACGTGCCCGGGGCCGGGCAGGGTCCGGATTTAGCGGTGCTGAGCTGCCGGAGGCTGGGAACAAAGCACGTAAACGCCTCGGGGATCATGGCGCGGCCGCTGTCCCGGTGCCCCCGAGGTGTTGCCGGCGCTCCGGGAGAAGCCGAGCCGCTGGAACGCGCTCCGTGCGGGCCGAGCCGCCCGCCCTTTGTGTCCCCCAGCCCCGCGCTGCCCTCCCCTCCACGCCCAAGCCAGGTATTCCCACTTTCCAAGTTAAAGCCAGCGCCACTTTCAGTTTTTGAGGCCACGGGGAGGTTTGTGTGTCGTGAAGGAACTATCGATGTTCTTTGTCATGGCGCAGGTTCTGTAAAAAAAAAAATCGTTACCAAAAATTTTTTTTTTAAACAAACCAGCATTTATTTACGTGTTTTCGGAGGTGTGGCGAGCCGTTGTAGTGGCACTGTGGATTTTTGGGGGGGGTGTCTGCAGGTTAGACGGCTCGGTGGATCGCGAACGCGTTCTTTTGTGCTCGTGTGGCAAAAACAATTCCTGCCTTGGAGTAGAAACCTCGAGTACTCGAGATGGAGCTTGATTTACAGCGTTGTAAAGCGAGTATCGTTCTGTGCCTCCCAGGCTTTCCTGGCTGTGCTCGGTGGAAATGGTCTGTCGTTTGTTTTTTTTCCTGGTGGAATTTAAGGTGGGATATCACATTCCCGAGCCTAACTCGGGAGTTTTCCGTCCATAGTCCCTGAGCACTCAGTAGTCCACAAAAGAGTAATTGAGGAAATCGAGGTTATTGCTGGTAGGTTTCTTCCTATTAGAGAGGAAAGGGTGTGTGTGTGTGTGTGCAGTGCACAAGTCCCTTGGAAAGAAATTTTGAGCCCTAAAGTAAAAAAAGGTTGAGAGCTAACGATCTAGCTGCTTTTGATTTTGGTCGTGTCTCAAGCTGTGCTTGGCCAAGCCTTAGCTGAGGATTGTTCTAACTTTTAGTGATCAGTCCTTCTGACTGAATTTTTTTTTGTCTGATCCAGTTGGAGCAGAAAAGCTTTATGTTAAAATTAGGGCTGTAGGGTGCAGATTCTGAAGAAGCACCTCTTTTTTTTTAAGAAGACCTCTTTTGGGCTTTTTTCTTCTGCTTTTACATGCTTGTGTCTCTTGGAGTTGAAGTACTAGGATCTGAACAGTAGAAATCATCTTCCCAGACTTACCAAGATGTCTTTTCTGAATGCTGCTCCAATAAAATGTACATAACTCTAGTTAAAAACAAAACTCTGGTGCCTTGGTTAAGGTCTCGTAATTACTGTTTTTCCTTTCACTTAAAGAAGTTCTGTTGCTTTAGAGCCTTGAAAAAATAGGACGTAGGAAACCCTTCCCACTGAATTGATGTTGAGATCTGCATTGGTGGTGGCAAGACGTGCTCAGTCCTTGCTGACTCCTGCTTTTCACCAGGGGGTTGGTACAGGGTGTGCTTGTCTTGTGGAACCACTGCACTTTTACCCCAAATGGCATTTATGGCCTTAATAAACCCACTAATTTGCCTGTTAGTCAAGTGTGGTTGTTCAAGTGCAGATTTCCCAGACAAGAGGCCTGTTGCAGTGTCTTTTTGTGTGCAGGGCAGTGTAGCTGTGGGTCTTTTCTCTTTCAGACTTCAGCAGCTCTATGTAGGAGCTTTGTTTTCTGGCCTACTGGTCAAGACTGCAGTGGTTAGGTGGGTGCCACTGGTTATTGGTCACTGCTGATCTGATCTGTGTTGGAAGTAAGGCTTCTTCCTATTTATATATATATATATATATATTTAATTTTTTTAAATGTTTCGACAGTCTGGCAGACAGAACAAATGGAGCACAGGAATTTCATTTTAACTTAGGAGTAATATTGGGAGACTTGAGGCATTGTCCATGTGCATTTTTTTGTTTTTGTTCGGGCAAATTTTTTTTGCGAATTTGTCTAAACAGTTATGGATCCCAGTACAAATTGAAGTAGTTTATATGTCACCTCATTGCTTGCTGCATTTTTTCAGGCACCAAATCAAAGGAAAAGCATTATAGCAAGTCCATGACTAACTGCAGTTAGGAGGAAGATGTGGATGGTATAATGAGCCCTTCACTGGGATTTTTGTATTGTGCTACAGTGCAAAATATCAGAAATATGGACGGTGACCATGTTTTCAAGGGAGACATCTGAGAGCTAATTGCTGTTTCCTATTTACTCAGTGTTTTAGTTTCATGTGAACTGGCAATCAAGTGGCACTCTATAAATAGCCTCTCTCAGCTTCTGAAAACAGCTGCTCCAGGAAGGATCAGTGTAATGTACCTTTTCACGCAGATAGCTCACCCCTGGAACTTATGGCCTTGCAAAAACTCTGTCTGATTTTGCAGGATCCCTAAATAATTGCTCCAAAGCCCAGTCAGTTCTGGATAGAGTTCCAGAGGAACAACTCGTGGAGCTGTTTTGTGCATCCCTGGGATGTGTCCTTCGGATGTTATCCTTTGGTGAGAGCTCCTGCCGTGATGAGAGAGGGAAGATGTGGGTCTCAGCAATGTGTCTGTTAGCTACGCTTCCTTCAGCATTTGTAGGCTAATTAGTCTCAATTTCAGACAGTGCTTGTATTTGAGGTCTCCAGAGGAAGCCAGGCCTGGGAGAGGCTGTCAGTGACTTTCTTTTCTTTGATTCAGTTTGGGCATCCTCTTAGCCGGGTGCTGGTGGGAGGAGCCCTGCTGCTGGATCACAGATGGAAACTGAGTTTCAGACTGCTTTCAGTAGCACATGGCGGTGCTTTTACCCTGAAAAACATTGGTGCAAACTTGTAGTATCCAAGTTAAACTCTGCCTTGAAGCTGGCAAGTGTAATTACTCAGGACACTTCCACAAGAATCTCCAAACCTTGCAATTTTGTATCATTGTGGCAATGTTTCAGGAACGAGTGGACAAACCTGTCCTGGTGGCAGGTAAAGTGTTCTGTGCCAGCACAATAATGGCCTCTGTGTGGATTAAATATAGCAAATAACATTTGGCTAGAGAAATGGCAGCATGGATTTCTTGCAAGAAAAAGGGATCCATAATTCATCTGAAGTATATAATGTGATGGGTTTATTTGCTTTTCTGTGAAGAGTCCAGCTGCTGAGAATGGCTCTGTTTAGACAGGAGGAAGAATGAAGACCTTTTCTTTTTTGTTTTTGTTTGTTTTGGCGTTTTTGTTTGGTCGGTTTATTTTTGCCATCTAACACAGCACGTTATCCAGAGAAAGTTGCCCAGTCTAAAAGGAGAGGAAGTGATACTGTATTTTTGCTCAGAGTGGTTGTTGGAAGCAAATATCAAAATAATCAGCTCTCCCCAATCCCTGATATCTTCATGCAGATCCTATTTTCTCAAATCTTCATTCCTTCTTTTTATTTTAAGCTTAATATATATCTTAGAGATAGCACTGTGATGCTTTCCCTTGAGTTTTCACTCCCCCTTCTTTAAAGATTGTTTCATATCGTATTAAGTTTTTTATCATCCTGGTTTTTAAGATTTGGGAAAAGTTTGTAAAAAATTAATGTAAGGAAGTAGTTAGTTAGATTTATTGTGATCAGATTTTGTAAAGCTTCAGCAGTTCTTAGCAAAAGGAGATCTGTGAATATTTTTATGTAGAGAGAACTTAGTAAACTACTTAGGTTTCAATACCTCCCCCTCTGTATCTGGATGAACCATAGTAACCCCAGAACTAATTACAGTTCTGAAGTTAATTGATTGCCCTGCTCATAAGTAGGGTAAGAATAGCTATTTTAACTGATTCGTTTTGATATTGACTACCTTCCATTCATATCAGTTTATAAAACTAGTAGTGTCTTGAATGAAGACAGAATTGGGTGTTGCTGTTGAATATTTGGTACTTCCTGAAATACATTGCCCAGAGTGCAAGAGTGAAATTAAAATACTTCCTTAAAATACTGCACACTTTCATCCTCTCTTTTGCTTTTCTTGGACAAACAAACCAACCAAACCCAGCAGAATGGAAACTTGAATGCTAGGGAGAACAATGAAAAAGAAAGGCGTTATTTTCCCCAGTTTTTGCTCCAGCTATATTTTAACATGTGGTATCTTGGTCTTTGAAAATGTGAAGTAAGAAGGGTCAGACAGCTTTAACATGATCAGCTTTGTAGCTGGTGCTCTTGCAAATTTGGAGATGGGCAGAGTATTTAATCAGCCTTTCTTCTTAAATTCTTTGCATAATACTTTTGATGTTTAGGGTATTTTTTGCAGGTGTGCTGTTATATTCATGTCCTAAACCTCTGAAATTAATTTTCTTTCCCAATAGTTAAAAACACTCATCTGTCACAGGTAAACTCCAGATCTGGTAGAGGTGTTTTATGTTATTTTTTCTTCAAGTCTAACAGATTAACTGCTGCTTGAAAAAGAAACATTATAAATGTACCTGATGGTCTGATTATGAGAGCCCCGTTCTCTAGTGATATATTCTATCACATATCAAATACTTTGTGAAACTCGGCTGAGTGAAGTGTTTAGGAAGATGTAAGTGAACTCCCCAGATTTTTTTCATTAGAAATGTTTTCTGAATAATAGAAATAGGCAGAGGCAGAATTGAAGTTCATGGTGTAATGAATGAGTTGGAGGAAAATATATCTGTGGAA